GGTCCAAGGATTATTGGGTCGTTTTTTTCCCCTCGGAGCGGAGCGTCACGGCAGCTCCGCTTTCTGCAAACGATGCAATGTCACGGCAGCTCCGTGGCCGTTTGCCCAGGTATGGCTATGTTCTGTTCCAGGTGCCTTGGGGTTTGGGGTTTAAATCATTTGGTTCATTTCCGTGGTTTCAGAGTAGACGGCACAAACCCAAAGATGTCTTAGGCAGATGGGGGTCCTCATAAACCACCTCTAGTTGATTTGGGGCTTGGCCCGAAAGATGGGGCCAGGCATCCAACCTCATCAGCGACGGCAGCGAGCTGCTGCTGCTGGTGCCGGCTGCGGCACCGGTGGTGGGGAGGCTTCAAGAAGCTGTCATGTTGGGTTAGGTGAGATGGGGGTGGGGTGCGGTTGGAAAGGGGATGGATTTATTCGTTTTTGCTAGAAGTAGAAACAAGTTGGATACTTATACTTTGATGGCACGGAACGAAACATTGGAGGGAATCGGTCTTGGTTGGGTTGTTTCGGGTTCGTCCAGCTGGCTGTTCCCCGTTCAAGAGGGGGCCTTTTTAAGATGATTGATCTGTGAACCACCTGAAGGGTAATTGCAGTGCGTCATAGTGATGTTTAGGGATCAGAGGCAATTGTTGACTCCTAGCATGCAGCCTTGCATGCTGGATGTTGAAAGGAAGAGTTTATAGATAAAGAGCATACCCCCCCGATCGCAGCAGGAACCTAGCAATCCGCAAGCAAGTCCCTTTATTAGAAAGGATGTCGCTTAGTTTCAGATGAACCATATGTTCATATTGTTGACATTGTCAACCATCATGATCCACACTCCAGAGAACCTCCGTGCATTGAGGGCTCTAAGGTTCACTTGGGGAGAAAGGTTTATGTGGGGGGTGGGCGACTAAATGTCACTCCATGGCACTATCCTATGAGGAAAACCACAACATAGCTGCCGGTGCCCATCTGGCGCTCATCTCTCGCCCGACGGTTTCGCCCGCGCCAGTGTGGTGCTGCCGATCCTGGGTGCGGTGCCGGATGGGATGCCACTTGGAGAGGTTTTCGAGGTGAGCGGTGGAGCTGCAGTGGAGGCTCTTCGGGTGATTTCGAAAGGAGCGTTCTCGAAGTGGATAGACCCACCCTCATGGACAATCAGTGATTAGACCATAATGATGGTGCTCACAGCAGGTGCAGACCAGTTTTTCTTCGCATGAATCGTTCTTCGTTCGTTTGTTTACTAGTAGCTTCTTGTTACTAGTAATACCAGGAGTTTCGTTCGTAGCGCCCTTGCTACGAACTCGAAGCGTCCTTGCCCCCAAACACCCACCGGTGACGGTGACTCGTAGCTTCTTAGTGACGGTCATAGCGATGGCCATGGCCTCCACCACTCTGCAGCTTTGAGGATGGTGCTCTTTTCGGGCCTCGGCCCTGATGCACAGAACCAGGCCGGCCTGGGTTCCCCCGCGGGAGCGTCGCGTTTCCGGTGAACGCGGTCTTTTTCTGGGGCGGCGGCGGATCAGCCGCGGTGTTGGGAGAGGAAAGCACGGGTGGTTTGGCAAAGGAAGATGCAAGGTTGACTGATCCTTCGTACTTTGTGGTGGTTTTGTGCTCTTGTGGTTCTTGTGGATGTAGCTCCGCGTTTGGAATAGTTCAGTTCGGGCAGGGAGTTGGGGTTGCGTGGCTGCTCTTCCGTCCATGGGGTCCATGTGAGTTTTTGGGAGGGTCGTGCAGTTGGCTTGGCTGTATTTCTTTGGACCATCAGAGTCACCCAGGAATGGTGGATATGGAAAGAGGGCGAGTCCCACGCTTTTCTCGCGGCGAGCGGACGAGGTGGTGACCCGCGGGTGAGGTGGTAGTTGGAGGATGCGGAGCCCTACATGGTACAAATCCTGAGACAGGTCGTTGGACCATAGCTACATGGCAAAGTAGAAGAGGTCGTAACCTTGCAACATCCTGCAACAAGCATCAAAAGACGGAACTCCCAATCCTGGAGTTCTTGCTCCACCAGGTCCGGGCCGGACGAGAACAGGCCCTCGACCGACTCGTCGGACTCCGACAGTCGCCGACGGGAGCTGGGGGAGCTGGAGGTCGCGGGCGGCCGACAGTCCCTGAAGTCAGCACCTGTTTGGTCCAATGAACAGGGGCCATCCACAGTTCCCATCGATTTCTTGAGCATTCCTTCTCCCGGGAAGCGGTTGGTTTGCCGCGCTCCATTTGCCCCTTGTCCAGGTCAGCGTCGGGGTCGGCGCTCTGGCTGGGAGCACGGTGATGTTGCTGACCTTGCCGTGGTGGGGAGCCCCAGTGGACCGGTGGGACTGGGGGTGGGTCGTGGATGGCTGGAGGGGAGCTAGCTAGGCTCCCCTCATCGAAGCCTGGTCTCCTAAATCACATCGGATCTCATTTTCAGGCGAATTCCTCTAATTTGGGCGGAGGTGCTGTTCATTGCAGTGATTTTGGCTCTTTCACCAGCAAGGAAAGACTTAGATGACGCGTGGCTGGGATGAGCTGACTCTACTAGGTCTCTGATACCATCTCAAAGCTTTGAGGGTAAGGGAGGAGTCTCAAGCCAAGGGTTTGGGGAAGTCTTTCGCAATGCCACTTGCCAAATGGTGGCATTTCTTGAGCCGGGGGGGCTCTGATTCCGAGATCTTGGAGTGATTCTCCTTGCGCAATGGATTTCGCGCGCGGGACCGGACAGTGAGCCGACTTGGCCCGGCCTTGGCCCGGGCTCTCCGTCCGACCGCCGGTGGAACCCGTGGCCTCGATCTCCGGCGACGCCTCCGGACGCCTCCGCCGCGCGCAGGTTCCTCGCCATCCTGGCGGGCCGTGCCGGGGGCCCCGCGGAGAGGGAGGGTGGGTGTTCCGCATGCCGAAAAGCCCCAAGCGCGGGGGGGGTGGATGGTTGAGCTGGGACTCGTGCGCGCTCCAGTTTGGCCAGGTTTGGGTGGTAGCTCATGTGGAAATGGGAGAAGATCCCATTGAATGGTTTTTGACATTGCAAGTGGTGTAAGGACAGTGAGGGTGCAGGCTTCTGTAGCACTCCTTCAGTTTGGGGTCACCAGCACACATGGGATTCTGTTGGGGTCGAGTCTAGGTATCCGTTTGGGTCTTAACTCGGAACGAGGCTGTCCGGAAGTGTTTGGACCGCTGATTTGGACCAATCTACTGTTGGAACACGTGTCTCCCATGTCCATCCGAGCACAAGCAGGTCTTCATCGAACATACTCTTTTGTTTCACTTCTCGGACACCCCACCCAGGATCTCGTTGCAAACACAGGAACCAACCCCCTTCCACAACCCCTCCACAAGACACGTGACTCCGGCGTGACGCCGGTCGCGCCGTCCGCGCCCGAGGTGTCGCTGAAAGAGGGGAAGCCCACCTACCAACGTCCCCAGGGAGCCGATCCGACGGTGCGGCGGTTCGCGCGCGCGTGCTTTTTGGTTCGTCCAAAGGCTACGGTTTTTCCAACGACGCCGAGGTGGTTTTTAGACTCTAGACTCTAGACCATCCCAGAGAGATGGAGACTGCTGATGATCCCATCTCTTGAGTGGAGATGGAGACTGCTGTCAAACCACTCGGCGATCTCCCTGGCTTTGTTGGAGAGATTGCTGATGATTGCAGTGCTGGTGGTCTTTGACTCCGTCTCCACAGACCTGGGACAAGCTCGACCCGCCGGGGAACCTCTCCTTGTTCCGCCCGGGCCACCCAGTGATGCTGATGTAGAGGGACAAGTGGACCAGTGTGTTTGGACATAGTTGGCCATTCTGATTCACATTCTGTTCCTGTGCATCGCGGCACCCGCTGGGAGTTGACACCTTGTGAGCGGATGAAGCACTAGCCGCTGGAGCGAGTCGGGTATAGGATACTGTATACCCAAACAAGCTGAGGACTGAGAACTTGTGGGCATCTGGCTGTGGTGTCAAAACTCTTTCAAGAATCAGAAATCATGAACAGCAGAAATCGTCTTGAGCAGTTCAACAACCCATGTTTTTGCGACCGAGACACTGGCATTGGCTATGGCCAAGAAATTGTGCAGAATGCAGGGCAGCCTACCAGATGGTGGGGATGATGAGGAGTGGACACGGAGTAGCTTGTAGATTGGAAGCAGAGGCAAAAGTCAAGTTGGGATGTTGTCTACACAAGGAGACATGAGTAGGTCCATCAATCTTGACATCTAAGACCAGGCCTCTTTTTGCAGTGAGCAACAGATCTTCGTGGCCCAGTCAAAATGGGAAACTCTCGCACCATTGGGGTCTTCATTCTTGGGGTATTTGGGTACAATAACTCTTCCAACAACTCTCCTCATGATCTTTATGGGTTCTATTTGATGGCTACCTTTGACAAAGACCTGCAGATTCCATCTACCCCAAACCTGAGTCGCAAAGCTTAGAGCCGCTCCAAGAAAGCTGCTGCGCCTCAGCGTCATGTGAAGACCCAGGACCAGTGAGTTGACCCGTGAAAAGGTGCTTGCTGGATCTGTTTTCCCGAGACATGCCCAAGATGCAGGATGCTGAGTAAAATGAAGTGAACCCTCTCAAAATGCCCGCTTCTTGGTTCGGCACCCCCCCAAAAATGCCGCCGAACAGCTCCAAAAGCTTTGCGAGGGCCCCGTGGTTCGATGGGGAGCGAGCGAGAGCTCTCGAGCGAGAGAGGGATGGACCCGTCTGCCCAAACGATCCATGTGGCTGACGAGGCCTGGACCATGCTCTACACCATGCTCGGGTGCGCAGCGCAGCGCTCTCGCTGCGCTGGAATCCAATGTGACTAGTGGGAACCGGTTGTGATGCCCACCAACTCTTGGGCGTGAAGATGGTCTGATCGAATCGTTTTGATGCCCCAAAGAACCATGGGCACAGCTTGCCAGCAGCTTTTCGAAATGGAGCGTGCCAGGTGGCAAGTTCTTCCGGAATTCCAGTCCGGCACTGTCAATCACAACTGTTGAATGGCTATGGTTTGATCCCATTTGCACGAATCCAGGAACAGGAATTTTAGGTAGCGTTTCAAGTCGACACACTAGATCACAAGAATTAATTGAGGTATCAAGTATCTCTCCAACTAGGTTTTTGGTTCCAACCACTGGTGGTTTGCCAGGTTAGTGCCGGGACCGCCCCAAAAAACACGCTTTTGGCGCTGCTTTTGTCGCGGCGCACACGCCAGACCACGAGGTACGTGATCATCCAGGGCTCTGCGTTTGTTGTGGACAAGATGCCGAAGCCGCCAGACCTCAGCGACCACGAGCAGCGCCACATGCTGAAGCACGAGGTAGGGAAGATAGGGAAGTAAAAACGAGTTCTTGTTTTTGCGGAGGGTCCTTAGTTGGTTGGTGGTTTGTAATTGGTTGGTTGGTGCTTCTTCTGAGGTTCCTTTTGGGATGCTGCTTCTTGTTCCAAACCTGTCCGGTGTTGTTATCAGTCCATACTGTATGTTGGGACTCTTGCTTGCACGGCATGATTCAAAGCGCGCCGTGTGGTGCGCTTTGTGGTCCCCCCCAATTCGTGCGCTTCGGGGCACGCTGCGTCTCTTCGCTCTTCTCTTCCAGGCGCGCTATGAGAACGACTTTGCGCTGGCCGGGCTCTTCGTGTGCATCGGCTTCTTCATGTCCCCTGGGCCTAAACCGCTTTCTCCGTCGCGCCCTCCGACTTCAGTCGGGGCGTCCGAGTGGACGCTTTCCTGCCGGACAATTGAACATATGTATCAGTCATTATAAGGTGGCAGGGCCAATTCACACGTTGTGGGAACACCTTCCGGTCTGAGAAAAGATCCCGAAAATGAGGCCTGGTAACCTATTGGAGACATGAAAAGACTATGAAGAATGGACAGGCTGGAATCCTCTTCCTAGGCCTCTGTAGGCCCACCTATGTACTCTTTGACCTGTGTTTGAGGGTGCAAAGCGTTTTTTTCCCAGCTGAGCTGGCGTGCTTCGCTGCTTCACATCTCGACCACACGAACCAGGTCCAGAAGCCGCCAGCCCTTCCCATTGGAGTTGCACCAAAAAAGACCATTTTCGGTCCATTTGGTTGGCCGAAGGGGCACGTCTTTATAGTTGGGAGATGACATCGCAGGTCCAAACTGGGACACCCCGCGTTTTTCCCACCTGGCGAATGAACAGAATTGAATACCTGGGAGGTCAACCTACGGTGAAAGGGGGTTCGAGTTTTGCACAGCCATAGAATGCAGCGAGTTTGATTGTCTTGCTTGCTGAAGCTGAAGCAAAAATCACGACACATACCCCTTAGAAACTAGCATGGACACTTGGAAGAGCCGACTGTCGTCTCAATCTTACCTGTGTGGCGTGTTTCTCAATAACTTTTCTTGGCTTCTTGGGGAGTGTTTTTCCATGTTTTTCCATCTACTCCAGAAACAGCAAGAACAAGGACCTCTGTTGGTTGCTTTTGGGTACCGCCCCACGAGGGCGTCGCGGACTGTCTGCAAAAACGTGCCAGCGGAAGGTAGTTGGGACGGTTAATGATGACGTCACTTGTAATGTTAAAACCATAGTAATGAGGGGAGTCATACCAAGTCTTCCAACAAATCCAGATATATCCAGATCAAATTTGATTTAGTATTCGACCAAAAGGGGACCATAATTAGCCACACTGACCACTGGAGAACCATAATTGTAAAACCGACTCGGCAAAAAATATCCACAGAGATTCTACTAGTAGTACTAGTACTACTACTACTACTCCTACTCCTACTCCTACTCCTACTCCTACTCCTACTACTCCTACTCCTACTCCTACTCCTACTCCTCCTACTACTACTATATACCACCACCACCACCACCACCACCACCACCACCACCGGCACCACTACCACCACTACCACTACCGCTATGGCGAGGGGGTGATTGATACGGTTCTGACATTTACTTGCAAACATACTTGATGCTATGTCATAGAAGGGGTGGGGGTGGGGTGGGGTGGGGTTCTATTGACGTCCCTTGTGCTTGCAAACATACTTTGTGCAATGTGTCACGGGCTGGCAGTACAGAAATCTGGCAACGGGTGAGTCGGTGAAAAACTTGGCAAAAGCGTTGCTCGACTTCCAGAAAAGGTGATGCCAAGAACTTGACATCTGGAAGGAGGTTTGCCGCGCGTTGTTCGAAAACCCTCCGAAGCCTGCATTTCGAGCACATTTCGGCCTCGAAAACGCGCGACGCCCGATTGGGGTCGATCCTGTGTTTTTCTGCCACCGCCCAGGTGGTACCTGTGGAAGATGTGGTCCGGCCAGCGTGTTTGTAGATGGACCGCCGGGCCCGTGCCGTCTTCGGACGTGGCTCCGAAAAAAAAGGTTGACGAAGCAGATGAAGCACGGGTGGAGCATGTCTCGCCTTTGAAATTTCGCTGGAGCGCTCCACGTGAAAACTTCTGTTGTTTAGTGTTCCATGTCTATCTTGCTCGTCCACCACAGCGAGCCCGACGAACAGAGTCGAGACCGCCAGGAAGGAGTCGCAGGGCGGCGGCGCGGTGAGTGACTTCATCGCCGAGAGCACCATCCAGGCCATTTCTTTGCGGGCGGTGGCAGTGATGGGAGGGGCTTGGATGCTGGGGCCGCTAGGGTGGGGCTCCACCATCTTAAGTGTTGTTCCGTTTTTGGAACCCAGAGATTGAGGCATCCAAGCATCAGCGCTTAGCGGGTGATCGATTCGTTTTTGCTGACCCAGCCATGTAAACATTGAAAAAAACCGTGGATGAAATTCCCCGGTGGCCTGCTGGACCTGAAGGCTAAAACCGGAAAAATAAACGTGCCAGTGCCGGGTGTGCTTGAAATTGTGAATGCACCACCACACTCTCTAGCTCGGACCCCCTCCCCGTTTCCGAATTCATTACTTGATGTGGTTCCTCTAAGTTGTATATATAGACGAGAAGATTGTTGATTCGTGACGCAACAAAACTTGGGTTTTGTCCCTCTTAGTGTAATTCCCCCTTCCAGAATGGATTTACATCTCCATATGGAGAGTTATATTCATGAGAAGTCTACCTGTTGGTACAGATTCCCTTCCGCCGTGTGCTTTTTCGTTGGCCGACCAGGCCATGAAAGAAGGCCTGCGCTGGGTTGAGGGGTTGGGCGGGACGGGTTCCAACAACGAGTGCCCAGAATTTGTTGGGGTTGGACTCAACTAGCTGTAGCTTTGCCCTGGAAATTCTTTATGCAGATGGCAAGGGTGGTGGTCTCGCAACCAATGTTTTCCCCAACAGTGGTTGACTTCTGGAACGCATGAGGGCCTCGGTCACCCAAAGAAGCCTTTGCTTGAGGAAGCCAAGACTCTAAATCCGCGATTTGGACATTTTTATGTTGAAGACAAATCCATTTGATAGCTCAGTCTGGAAGTCTACTTCTGCAATGTCATGTCCAGTATGTGGAATTTCACGTCCATGTTCGGCTCATGCTCGGGAAAAGACACACATCAGTTTGGGACTGAGCCTCGCGCTAGGCTTCCTCGCTCCGCTCGTTTTTCAGGCACCCTGACGCTGCGCGGTGCCATGGCCTCCTTCCGCGAGAAGCAGTGGTGCAAGAAGGGAGACCTGAACCAGGCAGGTGCCACCGGTTGAGATCATGGGAACTTTTGACTTTCCCAGGGTACTTTCGCCACAGATCAATAGGGATGATGTGAAGACCTTTTGCTCTGGCAGGCAACCTCTTCTTGTACTCGACTCGCCTCCACGCTGCAATCTGCCAGGTCCTCTTGAACAAAGAGTCCATGGATGAAGTCCGGCGCATGTGCAAGGCAAGGAAGGGTAAAAGTTGCTGAGCACAGAGCAGAAGAATTCTTGGTTGACCATTCTACGGATCCTTGAGATGTCCACCGGTTCCCCCTCCCATCTTCGTAGCCGCGCCACCGATCTCTGGCGAACCGGGCAGGTTCTGGCGCCCTTCTTTGCCCACTATGATGCCAATGGACCGGGGTCCCGTTATGGGGAGAGATGGAAAGGCGGAGGGACTTGGTGGATTTCAGCACCCCCGACAGTTGGTGCTTTGCGCTGTGGGCCTGGTCTTGTGGATGGCCTGGTTGGTGGTGGGCCTCGCTCATGGGTTTGCTATGGGCGGCCGACTGCCGCCCCCCCCTGGTGTCCGTGTGGCGTGTGTGGGGTCGGCGATCGACCAATTGGATCGACCTGTGATGCTCTTTGAGGGCTGTTTGGTTTCAGCACCCCATGAAGAATCTGGAGACCCCGCTCGTCCCGACTTGGAAGGCTCATCCTTGCCAGCTTCCGCCCCTCCGCGGACCCCGGTGGGACCAATTCACCCAGTGTCGCCGGCGACCGGGTGCGCCGGACACGCGGGGGCCGAGGTGATAATGCCATTGATTTCGAAGAGTTCAGGATGATCTTCAAGGATGGCCTACTAGGGGCCGGCCAGGATGATCTTGAACGGTCGAAGGTCGAGTCTTTTCTGAAGGATCCAACTGGAACAACGGTGACAACACCACCCGCCAAGGCATCCGACTGGGAAAAACTCATCCTGCCACCATCCTGCAACCACCCACCTGCCCTCCAATGATTTCGCGTCTTTTGATGCGTCCCAACTGCGCCAGGACGTTGGTGCTCTGGCTGCAATGGTGGACTTGAGGGCACATGTGATGCGTGGTGGTTGCAGCCGAAAGCGCTTTCTTGAGCTTGCTGGTGATTTCACAAGTTGGTCATTTCGTCGGTTGGCCCGGAGACTAGATGGGAACTTGGCCACTGAAAGGCTCGACTTGTAGCTGCAGAAGTTGGATTGGATTGGCTTTGGGCCTTTTTGTAGGGTCTATTCACAACAACCACCAACCTGTATGCTCTAATGCTCTGCTATAGTTTTTTGTTTTTTTTGGTATTCTGGCAAGATTATGCCATATTCGGTAGGTGCTCACCAGCCCGTTTGTCTCCCAAAGCCCCACCCATCTCTGGAGCGAATCCTCGCCCCTGGCGCAAATCCGGACAGATCGGTGTCTGACCGATCGACGCTTTCGGCCGTTGGTGCTCGGTGTCGGTGAAACCGACTTCCGACATGGTCGGTTTAGGTGAGAACCTCTCCCGAGATGGGCAGTATGCGATCTTCGACGCTGCCGACATGGCGGGGCTGTGGGATGTTGCAGCGATGGGTCAGGGGTGAAAGCAGCTAGTGACTCGGTGGCCTGGTTGGGGTGATTGTGGGACTGCCGAGCTGCCCCGAAAACCGACGTCCTCTGCTTTCGGCTTGTCCGGCAGAACCGAAGCGGCGACATCAGCTTCGAGGCGCGCGGCGTATGTCCTGGCGTTGAGGTGTTTTGGACTCGGGCGGGGCTGGCTCCAAGTGGGTCTGTTAAATCAAGCTGCTCCAAAAGAAAGACAGTGTCGGGGATGAGGCCTGGGAGCAAGAGGTGCTGTCGTACTGCTGTGAAGAATGAAGAGTGGAAGATATTGGCAGGAATATACCCATGAGGTGCAGGGATCTATCCTTCGATCTGCCTGAGTGTATTGGCGTTTCGCTTGATTGTGGCTTCAGATGTAGCTCGATCCAGATGCCAGTATTGGACACTGAAAAACAAAACAAACTTAGTTGCCCTAAGTTGCACAACACTTGGCTCTCTGGCAGATCTACAGATCGTATTTATAGTTTCCATGCGCACTTGCTGATTCATCACAGAGTGTGCACCAGTCGCCATGTCTGTCGAGCCCTCCTCGCTCGACGCCTGGCTGCAGAAGTTGACCAGGACCCGTTTTGCAGAGGAGGAAAACATCTTCCTTGGGAACCATGGTTCTAAGGCCCGCCAGGCCATTGACTCCGGAATCATCCCAACCTCCTCTCGGATGGTTTTTGTAACACTCCTTTAGCAAGGGAGCTATACATGGACTCAGAGAGATGCTGCAACATCTCGCAAGTCGTTCTTAATTGGCCCAGCGGACATCCGACTCTTACAGTTTGGGAGAACTCATGAGGTGGGTCTATCGGTAGGAACTCATGAGATTCCGAAGGAGAGAGATGCCGCCATGGTCCTCAGGTGACTGGTGGATACCATGGTCCTCCTCCGGCAGGGGGCCCAAGCACCACCGTGGAGCGATCCTTGCTGGGATCCATCTTAGGCAGGTTTTTCTGGGTAGGTCCAACCTCGGATCCAGAGGAAGGTCCAGGCCCAGGGTTTTGACCATCGAAACCCGAAGACGGCGATTTGACAACCAGTGCGAATCAAATTAATCTCTCGCTGCTGTAGAGATTAGAGGGACTTCCTGTGTCGCAACAGATAAAACTGAGTGTTGGGACGCCTCATGTGTTGGAGTCCGCTATCAACGAGCCGCACAGCATCCTACGTGTGCTCCTTAAGGAGGTGAGTTCCGCGGTGCCCAAAACATGTTTGAGGGGTTCATTGGGTGTACCACACTGTACCTTTTGTATGCATTTCCTCAAGACTCTAAAAAGAGTCAAGAGGCTGAGTTTCATCAGCAAATGAAGGTTGGCGCCAGAATTTTGGAGAAGACTGGATCCCAATCGCATCGTATGCTGCGCAGAACCTTTTCGCCCCCTCCCGCGGACAATCACGGTTGTGGAAGCCGGACATTTTTGCGGACCTTTCGAAAGGCGCCTAGGTGGCCTTGACGTATTTCTTGACTCGACCATCGACCTGTGTTGGCACCCGTGGAGATGGGACCGATGGTTGCAGGCTGGAGCCAGTCCAGGATCCCTCCAATGGCTCTTAGACGAAGCAGAGGCGAGAGGGATGTAGCGGATGTAGCAAGCATGACTGCGATACTCTTCACATGAAGTAGCTGCTGCACAGAATGGCACCTCCATAAGTGCCAGACTTTAGGAGACTTTAGGTATCACTACAGGAAAAACATGACCATGTGTGGATGCCACCCCCATCCGGCCGAGAATGGCAGGGATTCGCTCAGGTGGGGTGGAACGAGCCGCCTGAAGCACAGCCAGAGGAGGTGAAGAAAGAGGCTCGGTGAGGTTTCTGTTGTTTTGGAAGCGGTTTCTTCGTCGTGGTTCAGGGATGTCCAGGTGCTATGTTGACCTTACCTTGGCACCTCAGCTTGTTTTTTTCTAAGAAACTGTCCAACATGCATCGATCCTTCAGTTCCCGAACAGCCAAGCCTGCGGCTGTTCCAGCCGTATACGATAGACTTCGGAGCAGATCGGAGCAGGTCCCGGGAGCGGGTTCGGGGAGCAGGTTCCGAAACGAGTTCCGGAGCGAAGCAAGGCTCTGGAGCAGGTTCCGGTCCCGCGCAAGATTCCAGAGTTCCAGAGCAAGATGTAGAGAAGGCTTGCAGCAAAGAACTTTTCACTGTCAGGGCATAATCCTGACATGTCAGCATTCATGCTGGCAGTTTTTCATGCTGACATCATGTTGTCATGCGGCCAGGCTACGACCCCATATGTCTTTGCACTGTCAGGCTGTCATGTCGATACACTATGATACACCGACATGTTGTCACTCTGCCATGCTAACTTGCTGTCATTCTGACATGCTGTCTTTGTGAGATGCTGAGGTGTTGGCGCGCCTGTGTGTTGACATGGTGCCATGTCGGCGTGTTGTGTATATGCAGTCATGTGGACGCTAACATGTTGTCATGCTGATATGCTGGTGAGGCCGACATGTTGTCAGGCTGTCATGCTGACATGTTGCCATGTTGGCGAGCTGACGCGGGCCACGCTAGCATGCTGACACCTTGCCAGGCTCAGACTGTCGGAGGCCCCCCCTCCAAAAGTGATCATTGAAGCCTTGCCAAAAGAAGACGTTTCGTACAAAGTGACCCGTCAAGTCAGGCCATTAAAGCAAGCATTTTGTTCTGAGACTTCTTCCAACATTCAAATCGAGAAGTCTCCACAAGCATTTGGTACGCGACTCCTTCCCCAACAAGAGTCGCACGTCAAGTCTCCAAAATGAGGATTTCTCCTTCAAAAGTGAGGCGGGAAGTTTCATCAGAGCAGGCGCATCACGCAGTCTCTTCAAGCAATTTTGCAATCCAAGCCCCTTCAAAGAGCAGCTGCTGCCACCCCAATCCCACTGGCGCAGCGACATTGGCCTGCACCAAACATCGGCGATGTTACATCGCCACCTCATGATTCCCTGCGCTTGCCACGCGAACTGCAACCCAGTACCTTCAGCACTTGCTCAACAAAAACCATACAATGCTTGGTTATATACGCGTATGATGTTTGTTTAAGTCTTGTTTGGATATCATTTTGAATGTGTCTGTGGTTCCCCAACAGCGATGTTAGGGTTTTCTTCCATAGCGAAGAGCAGCTCCAAAGCCAGTTCCAGAACATTCTGGTGCAAGTCCCGGAGGAGGTTGCGGAGCAGGTTCTGGAGGAGGTTCCAAGGCAAGTGCTGCCACAGCAATATGCTGACATGGTGTCATTATCGTATGCCATTATGCTTGCGTGGTGTCACCTGATGTGTTGTCATGCTGACATTCCGAAGTCAGGTCATGCTGTCGTGCTGGCTTGCTGGCAGTGGGGTCCGGAGCAGGTTCCCTGGTTCTTGCTTGTTGTGTTGTCATTCTTGCATATGCCGACGTATTTCCATGTGGGTATGCTCACATGGCACATTGAAACAGTTCACACACTTTCGAAGACAGCACTGGTTGGTGAATTTGCGATGGTGCCATTGCCTCATGGGCAGATTCACGCAAAACGTTTTTTTTTTGGGTTTGTTTGCACTTGCGACGGATTCAACATTGCAACTGAAGCAATTCAACTTTTCCGGGATAACCCGACGGCTTGGGCATTTTTCTGTAGTTGCGGTGGCCGTGACACAGACGGGTTGTTGCGGTGAGTTTCCCATTCACTGGCGCAGGATTTAGACCTCCTGGTTCAGAAGTGCATGGATTGGGACTCAGCAGATGTGGACCTGAGCCTGACTCACTTGGGAGGAAATAAGAAGAACGGAAACACTAGCACCATTTCATCCCTTTGTGCTTGTTGTTTTTTTGTTCATATTTGTTTTGGGACCACTGTGACCAACGATGAGGTTAGCTCCTTGGCCTCACCCCACGTGACGCGATGTGAGGTCCAACGCTTGTCGGAACGGGTGCATCTCCGAAGGAGAGTCGTCGGACGCCTCAGCCCCCGGTCGTTGCCGACGTCGTCCATGAGGCTTGCGGGAGGGGCTGCCAGCAACCCCCCACAAGTCTTTTGATCAGCCGGGTCTGTCTATGTCGTCATTATTCGTCAATATTTACTTTTTTGGCGAGGGAATTGATAAGACCGGAGTTATAACCTTTCAAGACTTGTACGGTTCACACACAGGACTTTTGAAACCCAACTGCAGCCTGTAAATGGATGGTCATTAGTATATCATGGTCATAATGGTCATCTCATCAAACATAAGCATGATGCCATTCGCCTTGACTCCGAAAGGGTCGGTCGTTCCAAGGGTCGTCCAAGGGTCGGAGCGACTCCTCCGGCCGCGCGTGGTTCAGCCGCCCGGTCTTCCGCAGCGAAGCGTCGGATCCGTCGGATCGCCGAGGAGGTGATCCACAAGGGCGGCGCTCCGGAAGCGCAGGTGAGTGGAGGGGAGGGGAAAGAAACAGCACTAAGACTGTTGGATGGGAGTTGTGGTTGTTTGTGATTCATGGGGTGTTTGGATGAGCACAAAGGTTGGCCGTCGCAGCAATGAAGCTTCATGTGTCCAAGCGATCAACGGACAGCAATTGCAGTGATTGTGCGTTTGCCAGGAGTCCTGTGCAGCCTTATCCCGAGGCTGTTGGGCCTTGCCACTGGGCTGAGAGAGCGGTTGGAGGGTGGTGCGAGACCAACATTTAAGGGTTTTTGTTTTGTGAGAGACGATCCTGGTGCATCTGGGTAGGGAACTGGATTGGGTATGAAAAATGAGGAACCTGGCACCGGCACCTTGGAAGAGCATGTCATCTCCTTTGTACTGCCATCCCCAAGTGAGGTTGTGTGAATGGTATAAGGAGGATCATTGAAGTCTTTGTGTTCAGTCGCAGTGATTGCCGCGCCTTCCAACTGTGGTGGATGCTTTCAACATTTTTCAACCAGATAGATGTCCTGTGATTGGTGCTCTTTCCTTTCAGATTCCACCCGAGCTCACGACGTGAGACCCAGCGACATGGGACCAACGACACGAGAGGTTCGCGATGGGACCTGCGTCGGCTTCGACGTGCCCGGGCACTTCGGGGCCTTCCTTTCCCTGACCACGTCGGACCCCGTGACCTCGAGGCCTTTGTTCTCCTGCGCCGTGGGGATCCAGTCGGTGTCCCAACCGCCCGGGGACCTGTTGGGTGGGAGTTGCTGGGAGACTGAAAGGAGACCCTCGAGGGGCACGAGCTTGGCTACTCGGCCTCCGCCCGGTGAAGGCCTGCCACTGGGTCTCTGAACTCCGAGGATTCGTGTGTGCCTCTCCGAGAGCATGCAGCAGTGTAGCGCCTTGGCGGTGCTTGTTGGTGTCCTTGCGCAGCTGCGATCTGGAACAGCCAACAGGTCAAGCGTCTGGGACTCTTTTGAGGCCCCCCAAAAGAGCACCTCCGGGCCAACCGGAGGAGGCTTGGTAGAGTCGGAGGGTGGTTTTGGCGTGGCTACTGAAATGCCTGTAGGGCCCCTAGAAACCCTTAACAGCCTTCTTGCAACCTGTATGTGACAAGAAGCCGCTTTTCGGTTTCACATGTAATTAACGACAGAAACACCTTAGTCACCCACAGTAGTACGATGACGAGTGACTCCTCGCAAACGACAGAAACCGACCTCCTCGCAAACGACGAACACGAGGTCGATCAGAGGCCCGACTCTTCGCGGGGATCGACCGATCCCGCGCGGCTTGGTTTTTCTCTCTTGGAGTTTTTGGTGTGATGAAGTAGGGAACACGAGATGTAGGATGGTGACCCTACTTCAAGACATAGAGAAGTGATGACCCTACGTCGTTGACGATGTGACATCGCACGAGATGTTTTGAGCAGCCAAACGTGGCCCATGTCAATTATAAGAAGATGCCGTTTTCTTGAGCACGAGTCGTGAGTGTGAAGTCGTCAGTGCGGGAGCAGGCCTGTTCGTGTGCTAGAAAGGGTAGTGGAGTGGGGATCACTGACTTTGCCGTCTTTGATGTATTATAGTGATCCCCAAAAAGATAGAAAATACAATTTTTAGTGTGGATCTGCTTTTCTATCTATTTGGGGACCGCTATATATAGGTGGTTCTGAAAGCGAGTTGACACTTTTGCGGCGAGGGCGAGGGCAGCTCGAGGTAGCTGACCAAGGCGAGGAGCAAGCGAAGCGAAGCCGGTGGCTGGTGGGTGCTCTGAAAGGGTAAAGACAGCACTCACCTCACTGACTGGTAAGATGACTTGGATTTGGATGGACTCTGCTTGATATTGAGTTTGAAGTAACGCACTGCCTGATCTGTGACAAGAAGTCATTCTCCTGCAAAGGGTGGCCTTGGGAATGGTAGTAGGGAAACGTAGGGAATTTCGATTCAGATGCATTATCTGATCATTTCAAGGGTCGGTTGCTGCTTTTTCCTGGTTGGCAACAGATGGATTTGTTTGCTGGGGAGCAGCCCTGAAGAGTATCCCTCCAACGTACCTCATAGTGGAACATGTTTTCTGTCGACCTTCATGTGAGTATATTCCGGGGTCGAGGTGACCGATGAAGGCAAGCTGTAGTAACTGTAGTAGGGTGCGAATCGTCTCGCTGGTAGATGGTGGCTGCCCATCTGGGCTGCCTGCTCCGACGGCAGCTGCGTGCTGTGGAACCGTATGGGGTCATGGCTCCTGGAAAGCTGCCAGAATGCCACTTCTTTTCCAGAACAGAACAGCTGCCCAACCCTAATACCCAAACTCTAGAAGAGATGGCTATACTACTCAAAGATCCGGGTAACATCTTCCACTCGCCATGGCTGATCCGTCCAGGTCCCTGGCATCTTTCTGCTCTATGCGCTGCCCATCTCCCAGATTGTTCTTGAATCCACCGTGGAAGAAAAGCCTCACCACGTGACGCGCCGCAGATCCTTGTGCCGCAAAAAAACCCCAGCCCCAGTCCTTGTGGCCGCCCAGCCGCTGTGTTTTGGACCACACCCATCCAAGATGCCCCCACTGGGTGTTTTGGTACAACCCCTCAGCTCTCACACAGCGGGCACTTCTCTTCGAGGTTGGCGATGGTGCAATGACCACCAGCCGCCGGACGAAAAAGACACGACGTGGAGAGCGCGACGCACGATTCGCAGGGTGGAAGCAGATTCTAGGCCATGTTTGGGTGGAGTCTTTGCGGAATCCAGCGAGGGAGACTTCTCTGGATTTTGTTTGTATTTATTTATTTTTTAAAATTAGTCTATATATCTATATGTTTGAATATACTGTAACATTAGTTTTCATCAATTTGATGGGTTTCGGGCGAAGCTCACCTCATTGGGAATCCCAAGACCTGGGAAGTGGGGAACAGAGCTACCTGCAAGAGTCTCAAGTTCCACTGAGCTTCTCCACCAGCTCCTCTTCCATCAGCTCCTGTCTCCCTTCCGCCTGCCCCGTCCAGCTCCGGAACCCCGTCCAGCTCCCTGCGGAGTGCACCAACGCGATCGCCCCCTTCCAATCCTTCCATGCCCTTTGCTCCTAGTAGCATATTTGCTCCTAGTAGTAAGGCCAGGAGACCCTAGAAGCGTCTTTGCTCCTAGTAGAAATGCCCTTTGCTCTTAGCAGATTCGCTCCTAGTAGCTATGGCCAGGAGTCCCGTTCGTCGCGTCCTTGTTCTGCCATGGGCTGGCGGTCCGCGGAGTTCGCCGTGCGCCAGGAGTTCGTCGCCTGCCTCATGTCCTTCGCCTTGGACCCCAACACCGACCTGCAGGCGTTGGAGGGAAGCCGGACGGGTTGACCGTGAGTCGTGGTGAAGGGTGGAGCAGACACCCAAATTGGTGTTGACTGTGTGTAGTGACCATACCGTTGTTGACCTATGGTGTTGCTCTTTTGTAACTCTTTTCCTGTGGGTTTGGTGTAACAGTGTAGACAAGAGTAATTAGACCATTTCAAGAAGCTGTGAGGTCCCTACTTCCAACTTCCTAGTTGTGCAAATATTTGAGCCATACCCGCAGACCATGTGGGTTGACATGCAGGTTATTTTCTGCCTCCATTGATATTGCCAGTTTCATCGTGGTTAGTGCCGATTCCAGAGACACCTGTCGGCAGACTTCGGGTGCCATCAGGCATCCTTTTCTCCAAGCCAACCCATCCTCGAAAGCTCTTGTAGATCAACATGGGTTTAACTTTCACATTTGTATGTGGGGGCACCCAGCCGGATGGTCTACCTGAAGCTAATCATATTCAAAGCGGCTGCTTGGTCCAGGTCGGTGCTTGTTGTGCTCGCAGATCGGGGGTTCTCAGCCGTCAATGGCTTCAACACACCGAAGGAGGAGGTCCTTCCCTTCAGCCGCCCAAGAGCTGCTGGGGAAAACCATCCCGTCGTCTCGCAAGAACACCTCTCCGTTGCGAAGCGAACGTCTTGGAGGAAGTGAAAAAGCCGAAGTACGCGGTGAACCCCATCAAGTACTTGGAGAATGGTGATGAGGAGCACTACGAGCGGGGCCGAGGTCGTGGTGCGGTGGTTCTGAAATGAGAAGCCAGCGTATTTTAAGGGCTGAGAGGCTGAGAGGATCTGAGTGATTTTGGGACCTTAGAGAGTTGAGATGAGATCTGTTTGGAACAATGCCGGTCCAGCATGTGCTCCGTCAAAAGCCTCCATGCCTCCCACACCGCTCTTGCCGCGTTGGCAAGCTGCGCTGGTTTCGAGGAGGGCGAGGAGGACGAGGAGGAGGACGTCCCGGAGGCACATGGAGTGGATGAGAGTGACGTTGTTCGGCACATGGAGTGGATGAGATGCCGTCATGGTATGTCAATGGTTGGTATTTTGTTGAAACCATGCGGGAAAAAGATGGAAAAAGGGTCCTGCATGAACACATGATGATTTCTGAGAATCATAGAATGGTGAATCCACTGTGATGGACCTCTTCAACATGGAGGTTGGTAAGTCTGAACCTGTCCATGTTGATATTTGCGATCCGACAAATCTACTTGGAACCTGAGAATCAGACTAGATGAGTGATCCTGTGGCTTGATGGGCTTTGCGCCGATGGATTTGGACCGTTCTGAGGATCTGGCCGACTTGGACCCAGAGGAGCAGCAGAAGAGGATCAAGTCAGAAGCCCCAGTCGGAGACCTTGACCTTGTCGGATTCAAGAGGTTTCTGATGTCCTATGATCCCATGATCCACCACCCAACAGAGGTCTTTCTTCTATGATGACTCCCCAAAGCAGCATTTCTGCTTTCATTATAATTGTATTTATTCAGGTGAAGACATGGGGTGTGAGTCAAGACTAGGTGCCTGTCTGACCTTTTATGTCCACATGTTCTGTTTCTTGCTGATGAGTTGGTGCATTGCTGGCATTCACTGTGCTCGAGATTTCGTTTCGGCTGACCAGACTGCCGCCACACCGGCCGGTGCCCGTTGCAGAGGATCCGGGCGGCTTACCAGATGGCCATGGGAACCCTCTTGGCCCGGGGGCCCCAGCCGGCACCGGCCGGAACCCTCACCGTGGGGGGAGGATAAAGGCCCAGGCCCGTGGAGAGCTGGTGGAAGAACGAGAGGTTCTCACACGCCCTGGAGGGAGTCATTCCAATTCTCAAGGTAGGGTGGCTGTTTGCAGCTCAGGTCGAGACGGTCAATGCTTTTTTCTACCTTTGACCCGTCAGGGTCCAGGTCCACTTCGGCCCGAAACTCGGCCGTTGGCCCATCCGAGTTTCGGCCCCTCCGAGGTGCTGATCTTCTCGGATCCCATGGTGGACCTCCTCAGCGAGTTGGGTGTGGAGCTTGGAGAGGGTGGATCTCCGGCCGGTACCGGTACCGGCTGAAGTCAGTATGGCGTTTTCCTATTCGTCCTTGCTGATCCCACACAGAGGTATACATGGATATATATATATATATAAGTCCTTGAAAGCCTGAGCGGCTTAGTGGCTGGACCAAGTGTGACCTGCAGCATTGCTTGCATACCAGGAAAGCGCCTGGATGTGTCCGCCTTCTACATTTCCTTTGTTCACCTGGCAACTTTCACGGATGGGTGTTGGATGGCTCCGAGGGTTGAGATTTGCCACGGGGGCGCCACCAACCTTGAGCGGGGCTTTTCCTGCTTTGCCAGCTGTAAAATTTGCAAAATCAGCAAAGGTGTCGAACAGGATTCGGAAAGTGAACTGACTCACCGCGTGCGATAGCGGTTTAGACACACACTTCGATTCATAGTTCCGGTGAAGGAACGTAAATTCCAGTGGTTTTCAGAAATGCATTAGACCTTTAGGTGCATAACGGCATGGCGATGGGTCAGCAACAGGTATTGTTTCAACCAGAAAAGCATTCGACCTTTAAGTTAGTGGATTAGACCTTGACTGGAATCGGAGGTCATCGCTCTTAGGTTAGATCCCATCGAAAGCAGGTTGAGGGGCCATCGCTAGTAGGTTGGTGACAAGAAACTGCAAGACAAGAAGCACAAGACAGCCAAGGTTAGAGGCCATGGCTAGGAAAAGGAGGCCATCGCAACCAGATTGAAGGCACAGCTTTTGGGGCCTACCTGAAGACCTAAACACCTCCTGGAACAACATCAGGTACATGAACCACCATAAAACACAGCAGGGGACCACAACAAACAACAGTTTATGGCGCAGGTATAGGTGGATGATCAGTCTACCCTTCCATCGTCATACCGTAGCTTCATTGCGTACGGTAGGTATGACGAGCCGTACGCCCCTGCTGAACATTATAAAATTAGAACTCCTAGAGACGGAGGTTACACAAGCAGCCGCATAGCGTCGCGCCAAAGTGAGGAACCAACGCGTTAGACAGCTTTGGCGTTACGTAGGTTGTACAGGTTACGGACAAATGCAGTAGCACTTTAAAGAGGAAACGCCGCAGTAGACAGCTTTGGTATTACTTAGGTTCTAGAAGCATTACACAAATCATGCAGGCACTTGACGGAAAAACCTGATTACACACCTAAAAAGCCTCTAGAAGAAAGTCAGACCTAGAAAAAGAAACCAAAGGCAGGAGAGAAAGAAACAAAAATCCGAGGGGTAGGGTCGACAAAATGAGCCTCAAGACTCAAGAACAAACTAAGAAGCCTGAAGAAACACCTAACAAACAAAGAAAGAACGCAAGAGAGAAAAGAAGGAGCGGGGAAGGTCATGAAACTGTCACTTGAAACATCGCATATGAAGACATGCAAGGGGTTTTCAGAAATTGAATTTCCGTAAGCTCGGTAGCTTTAAGTTCAGGTGATCCTTGCAATACAGTTGATCAGTCATCGGCTCCGGTGAATAAACGCAGTTTCAGAGAGTGATTGCCCGAATGGCTTCAGCGCCCCTTGTGGGCATCACACTGCACACCCAAATGGGAAGATGCAGCAGGTCACACTTCGATTCATAGATCCGGTGAAGGAACGTAAATTCCAGTGGCTTTCAGAAATGCATCAGACCTTTAGGTGCATTACGGCATCGCGGCGGATGTGTACGCAAAAGAACAAAAGAAATGAGATGAAAGGGAGTGAAGACGGGAGAGGCATGAAAGAAAAGGAAAGGACGGCTTGCAGATGATAGTAGGGAAACCAGATGGAAGGAACAAACAAGACAAGAAGCAAGCCTTGTTAGAGAAAACCTGAGTGACCTAGCCTTGTTAAATTTGTGGAGCATACGGTGAATATTAAACAATATTGCTGAGTGCGGGGCAGAGATGACTTGATCTCGAGCTCCAACACTGTGACTGCTACGGTCTCCTGCGCTGTGCCTTGCGGCTCTCCTTCTGGCTCAGAGGCCTGCTCCAGTCAATCCAAGTCGTCAAGTCTTAACGCAACGTTTGCCATTGATGGCTCCTGCTGTCCGCCTGCTGTCCGCTACGAACTCCTACCGTTGCTTGCGTGCAAGGACTTCACCCCCAGCTTGGGTGGGCCACCAAGGGCATTACTTCGGGCGAGCTCTGGGTTCTCAAAAATTGACTCGAAATATTTTTGCTTTCGGTCTGACTGCCATATGCCTAAATGCCTGAGTGAAAAAGTTCCTGAGTAAAATGAGTGCAAAGGTGTCCGGCCATGGAAGGCAGTTTCAAGTCTGTGAAGTTCAAGGCTCCGGTTCAAAAACGTCGGAAGATCGAGCGGCGAATGCATGTTTGCAGACCTGAATCATCCTGCAACAGCCTGAGAACCCCTATGAGTGGAAGGTGCTTGCAATTGCATTTCCAAAAATTGAAGTTAAGAGGTCCCCTATGCTTGAAAGGGCAACGCGCGCACGCACACAAACACACACACACACACGAATGTGTAAATATGTTTCGTTCTGCAACCTTGGATGTTGCGGACACGCACTTTTGTGAGGTTTCTCTTCAGGCCCAAATGTGGATCCAAAATGTGGCTGGAACTTGAAACGCCCGGCCGACGCCTTCCATGTCATTGCTGCAGTTTTGCCAGGTCTTAGCGCCCTTGGCCTCTAACGCCAGTGAGCTGGTGGCCGCGTGCCCGGGTGTGGGGTGGGCAGGTGGCATCGGCAAGGGACCGGCCCGTTCAATCGATCGATATGGTCAGGTGGTGGTGGTGGTGGAGGGTGGGTGGGTGGGTGGGTGGCGGCCATGATCCCCCTGAATAATCCCTCCCGACTTCATTTGTTTGGATCAAAAGAACGTCAAAGGCGGGATTGTTTGGATGGTGTTGACAGGCATTTTGCTGGAGGGTCGTGTTCGGTTTCCATGATCTTCCATGTTTTTTGAAGGGAGGCAGTGGGACAAGTAGATTTCTTGCATCCCACCACAACCATCAACCATCCGTGGGAACTGAACCAGACCATTTTTCTATTGCACAACAAGTTGCGGAACGTGCAGGTACAACTACGCCAAGAAGCGGACGTGCAAATCCATCACAACGTCCTTAAGTACCTTGGAGGCCGCTTCCGGGCGCCGGGCCCGGCTGGTGACCACTGAGGGGTTTCTGTTGGGAAATAGGTTTGTTTCGGCGTCCGATTCCCGGTTTCAACATCAGGGCGCTGCGATCATGAACAACACCTTCTGCCTGGCGATTTTCCTGGCATTGGTGCAGCATGGCTGAGAAGGTGATGCCGCGAACCTTTTGGGTCCCATTCAGGTTTGGGGTGGGACTCCCCTGTCGTCAACGGCTTTCAGGCTTTCATTTGCTCTTCCTCGCGACCGCAAACCCGACGAGTCACAGGGATTTCGCCACAGTGTGCATGTGGTCATGTTTTAAAAAATCTCAGGTTGACCTTGAACATGAACGGATTCCCCTCTTTCAGGACTGTCAACCGTCCATGCTTTTGGTGGGGAGGTTTTGACTCACGCCCATTTGAGGCTACGAAACCGTTCGCCGTTGGAAAGGGTGCTCACCCCGAAAGCGCCTCTCTGGGCTAAGCAACGGGCCTGTGAAGCCACAGCTGATTTCGGATCGCGAGGGAGTCAGAAGCAAATCATCCTGCCAGTTGATAAGCCAGCTTCTGATAAGCCAATATATACCCCTGAGAGTCCAGTCATGACTCATTTTACCCGCATGGTAGTGGTGGATTATGACTACTGGGTGGAGTAAAATGAGTCATTGGAAGTTCTGGGATGTAGATCGTTGCCAAAAATAGACCCAAATCTCGGAAATGATTCGCCGTCCCTGCTCGATGAGGCCAGAAGAATTATGTGCATAGGTTTCGATGGAAACCTTTTTTCATGACGGGAGCAAATGCCGCACGATGCTTCTGCAGACCTCACCCTTCGAGGTCTGTTCTGCCAGGTCACTGAACCTCCCAGGCAGAGGCGAACTCCTGCATCGGATCCTTTCGATCGGATCCGCCCTGGCCGATTCGCTCTGCTGCGGCACTCATGCACATGCAGCGCACACTCAGCGCACTCATGCGCCGTGCGCATGATGAGGTACTTCCAGAATCTGGCGCGGCTCCGAGTTGGCCGGTGGTCGACGCGGCCGATGGGGCGGGTGGCAGTGGCCTCGCCAAAGGCGCTCCACGGTCTCGGGTCCGGCAGGTACCCATGAGAGATATGAGATACCCTGAAAATCAACCTTTTGGGTGTTCTGGATCGTTGTGGTCAAGGGTCTCCTGGAAGTTCTGATACTCCAACCCCAGTGGGGACTGAGATACCCCCAGCTCTTCGCCGTTTTCCGCCCAGGCCTGGGAGTTCTCGGCCGAGACGACCGCCATTCTCCTGATCCAGGCGCGTTCCGGGCGCCTTCCGGTGGGGTGGCGCTTCTTGCGTGGTTTGGCCCGGATGGCGGAACGCAGAGCAGGGTGACCGGTCATGAAGACCTTCCTGGAACCTGGTCATGACCTCTATTTTGGACCACCAACCACCCAAAATATGGTCTTTTCCTATCAAAACAGAGGTCATATGGGTTCTAGGTTCATGTGGGGGGACTTCACCAGCGTTCACCCAGAGCGGTTCCACCCACCCCGGTGCTGATCGCAAGCGCAGGTGCTGATCGCGCTGAGCGCGGTCTTTCGACGCGTGCACAGACTCCTGGATGGGTGCGCCCCCCTGTGCGAAGGGTTCGCTCCCGCGGCGCGCTGGGGGGTGGTCAGCGAAATGAACGGGTGGTTTAAAGACACCACTGGGCACCTGACTGGGCATTTTTCCTTCCAATCACACCCGCATCACTGGGTGGTGAAAGCAGTGAAAGCTTGTATGCTTTGTGTCGATCGGCGTTTCGTTGCCAATCCATGTTGCAGGTTCCTCATCCTGAGCCTCTACCCTCTCTGCTTGGCCACGGTCTATGCTGGGGCTCCTAGACGAGGTATGGAGTGGCCTCCATGGCCTCCATGGGTTTGTCTAGGTCCTGAAATCGCCGATCCAGGCGTGGGCGGCTGATGAGCTGGGCTGTAGACATCGATCCACTTCCGTCTGCGACGAGGGGGTTCCCTCCTGTTGGGTCGGGTTTCAGCGGGTTCCAAGCGTCTGCGACGAGCGTCGTCTGCGACGAGGTCCTGGAGAATTACGTGGGCTGGGACTGAGCGTCCGCGGCGGTTTGCAAAGCTCGGAACCCCGCCGCGGTGAGCGGCGGTGAGCGGTGCTTTGGCGCCATGCGGAAAGAGACGAAGATTCGGTCGATGTTGATGGAAGTACACGGTGTGAAGAGACAAGAAACATCAAGAAACCATGTTGTTGGGAAGTGGCAGCCTCCACTAGCCTCCATAGCGCCTGTGTGTGTGTTTTTTCGCTGTCATGTTTGGAAAGTGATCGTTATTGAGTCGCCTACATGGGGCGAATGTAAAGACAAGGTGCCAGAAAATCTGGCACCTGTACGATATGGACGTGTCCACGCTGGGATGATGACCCTGTTGGGTTGGGAGTGCGAGCGATCCACTCGACCCGCCGTGGCATGGAGGGTGGACCACTCCTGACTGGTCTCACCCCTCCATCCGCTGCTCACGACCGACAGGCAGAGCCCCGGGAGGCAAGGTGCAGCTTCATTTGCCCAAGCGACCCAAAAGGTGAGCGTCTCGGCTGGTGGGCTGGCGGGAACGAAGATGCGAAGGGTCCGGGATGCCATTGCGAAGGGCTTCCCCTGATGGGTCGTGGAAAAGCTTGAAGTCCAGGCTAGAAGCTTTGGGTCTTTCAGCTTTGAGAGATTTGAGCTTGGTTGCCTTGGTTGGAAAGCGAGTCTTTTGGATTGATGTGATAATAGCTGATGGCTGGAGCTTCTGCAGCTCCTTTTCCAACTCAGAAGAGAGAGACCACTGAAGGCTCCAATGCCTGGAGTTGAGAGACCATTGAGGATGGCGCATTCACTGGACATCGTTCCCCGAGCTGCCCATCGGAGCCAAACGCTCGGGAAGCTGCAAAGATGGGAAGCTAAAAAGTGCTTGGGGAGGAGTGGAGACATTGAGATTTTTTGGAAGGGAACATGCTTTCAGAGCTTTTAATGACCAATTCAATACAGTTGGTGCGTAGGACCTTAGGAGGATATATAGATCCTTTTCTTCCTCAGCTTCTGGATGTGCCTCCCATGGACGACCGGTGCCGATGCTGATGCCGCGGTGGCAACTCTGAATGCAGGCCAGTGGCAGATGTTCCCAATAGACACTATAGGTTAAAGAAGACACTGATTATGTTTTTGCTCCTTGTCAATATAGTTGTCCTCCAAATAGATAGAACCGCTGTCCAATCCATTTTTAGTGGGGATCTACTTTTCTATCTATGTTATGGTCTGCATAAGGGCCAAGAGCCTTCTATCTTTCTATTGGATCAGGTCTCATGCCTCATAAGTGATCAGAGCTCAGGAATGACAGGGTTAGTCCAGGTGTATAGAGTTTAGCCCTGTCTCCTTCAGGTTCGGTTGAAGACCTAGTTCGACCTCGGCCAAAAACAGGTGACCGTTTTTAGCATTTTTAGTATGAACATCTCTTTCGGGCCCAAACATATCACACAACAACATCACTCTTCAGCCCTGAACCACTGCGAAAATCTGCGAAACACTCTCGCGTGGGGAAGCTGCGTACAGTATCTCGTGACGACCCGTGGCTCAAAAACTCAACAAGAATTTTTTTTAAAGCCAGTGCTGGAGCGGGTGCTACTCCACCCCTGCTTTTGGTCATTCTCGATGTCCTTTGGAACGACTGGTGAGCAGTGTGCTGTGCTGCCAATGGTTTATTGGGTTCCTCACGGTTCACTTTCAGGTTATGTGACTGCACAGATCCTTCCACTTCCAGTTCACACCTCCGCGACTTGGATGCCTGCAGTGCCCGCGTCCGCCTCGGCGACGATCACGGCACGGGTGGACGCCGACGTCCACAGAAGTCCTCCCCGCACGACGTCCGCACACGAGGACGAGGACGAAGGACGAGGAGACGCGGCGGGACGACCGCCCCGGCCCAGCGCGACTGTGGCCCGGCGCCGTCGTCGGAGGCGTGCGTTAGAACGAGCCAAGCGGGTCGTGGAGGAGAGAAGCGGCTCGTCGGGTGACCCAAGCATTGATGAACTCCGAGAGGGACTTCGTGGAGACCAAGCCCAGGGCATGCAGCGTTTGCGTGGACAGGTTTGGCACCTGTCGCGAGATGCAGCTGGCTGTCGGATCGTGCAAGAAGCCCTGGAAGTGGGTGGCCGGGAAGCTGTAGACTTGGCGCGTGAATTGGAGGGCCATGTCCTGGAAGCAGTGATGTGTCCACATGCAAACTATGTGGTGCAAAAGGTTGTGTCACATTTATTTGTGGCGGCGAGCAGCTTTGTTGTCAGAGAGCTCCAAGGAAACGCAGAGCGTGTCGCCAAGAATGGATTTGCTTGTCGCATTTTCTGCCGACTTTTAGAATTCTCTGGCACTGACGCCACTTCGCGACTGGTTGATGAGCTATTAGAGGGGGAGAACCTTTGCACACACGGCTTTGCGCACCATGTGATTCAATCCATTCTGGAGTATGGTGAGGAACACCACAAGAATCTCATTGCCAAGATGTTGATGTCGGAGCTTTGGACGCATGCGACCCACAAAAGCTCCAGCTACCTCATCGAGACAGCGCTTTGCTACTGCAGCGAAGAGGATCAAGATGTGCTGGTGGCTGAATTGGGGCACCCTGAGGCGCTGTTGCGCTTGGCCATGAACCCCTTCGGGAGCTTCGTGGCACGATCCCTACTTCAAAACCCCAAGGTAGATGCCCAGGTCGCCTTAGGTTATTTGCAAGATCATCGAGCTTCTGTGGAAGCCACAGCACACGGACTCCGGTTTCTGGTGGATGTGGGCCTGGAGCAGGGTTAGGCTTGCTAGAGAATCGGGTGATAGGTGGATTGATGGTGTAAAAGAACGGTCCTCCAACTCGTGAGTTTCATTCTCCATCAGGTATTGAACATGTATCATGGATGACCCCAACCCTGGTCCGGAGTGGTGAGAGCATTCTGGCCTCACTGGACCCCTTTTAGTCTTTGAGCGCCTCTCTTTTGGGGAGGCTCTTCGCGTTGGTGCGATGCTCGTGGCGGCACATGCACAGATGGAGCCCCACAGATCAGTCCTTCCAATTTTTTAATCCCGAGGGATCCAGTCGTACCTTCTCAGCAGGTGATGACACACCGCTACTTTTTGGTGTGGAGGGTCCAATGGTTTTTTGCACTTCGCGATCGAGACATCGGGTCGGTCGCTTCCCGATGGAAGCCCTGAAAGCACCCGGTCTTGAGAGGCGGGCACTGTGCTGAGCAATGTTTGTAAAGTGTTCTAAATCAATCGGCCAGTGAATCATACTTCATGTACAGTGCATGGACGAGCGACATGGGAAGAGCAGGAAGAGCAGGAAGAGTTGCCCAGTTGCCCGGTTGACTCAGGACACTTTCATGGAGTCCCACAAAAGAGGAACCAATCGATACCAGCACCCTCCAACAGGCTGTTGGTTGAGGGTTGTTGGACCCTAACAGGTCTCAATTGGTGACCTGTCGGAGGATCCTGGTACAGGTGTGTTTTCATAGGGAGACACCCATTTGGCCAATGGGGTTGTTGATCTTTCTTCCTTCTTCCACGGCCCAGGCCGTGGCCGAGGTCTCTGTTGGACCCTGTGTTTTCCCCTGCAGGATTTTTTCTCTTCAGAACTCGCCTTTTTCGGGTCCGACCCCTTTGGGGTCCGCCTTTTTCGGGCACCGTCGCCTGGGACCGTCCGTAGGTGAAGTGGTTCGAGGAGCGTCCTCATCGTCGGCGCTGGGTTTTGGGGTGCGCCGTCTCGCAAGATCGAAACGAACGTTCGCCACATTGGGGGGGCTCCTGTTGGAGGCCAAAACAGAACTTCACACCTTGCAGCCCCGGAAAACACAGCCATTTTTTAAAGAAACGGGGTCACCCCACGGTGTTGGGGGAAGCCCACAGCCCTTTCCTGACCCTAATTTAGCAATGGTTGATGTGCCTCACAATGCCTCCGGACCTCTCAGAGCCATTTCCACTTCCCAGAAAAATCATTAGAAAGCCCTTCGTTCTCTGCCAGGTGCTCCTCCTCACCTGGCTCTTCTTTTCCTCGCGTGGAGACGCGCCGGGCAGGCGGCTGGGACGGGCCGGTTGTTTGGGGCGTAGTACTGTAGGCTCATTGTGGTGGTCGCCAGGATGCCCTCGTGATTCAGCGAGCAAACCTTTTGATAAGTCTTCAGCGGATGAACATTCGTGATTTTGGTGAATGAAGAGAGAAGAACCTACTATGCTTTCCAAGCTTTCATCTACAAAGCCTCCATAGCTGTGAATTGCCATCTCCAACCGCCGTGTTTGAAGGGATCTTAAAAACCTTCCCGACTTTTCCCGATTCTTGTGAATTGCAAAGAACATTGAAGTATTGACCAATGACTTCACCAATTTCTTTTGCAATAATATATGTTATTATTGTTATATACTTATATACTATAATATATACGGTTTCGACATGTTTTGACTGGATACATTGTTTTCCTTTTTATCAAATCGGGATTGGAGCTTGAGTCTTCACATGTCAATCTGTAGATCCCCAGCAGGACCATTCTGGAATGTTCATGCTCGTAGCTTCTCCGGCCAAGGACCCTTGGAAAGCGGACAAAAAGAGGGAACTCGCCGAGCCGCCCGGAGGGAGCTTGTGACCGCCCTGAACAACGAAAGCCTGAACCATCCGCCCAGTACGACGAATGCAGCCTTCTCCAGGGCATTCGTTCGGAGTCGTTTGGCTGGAGCGTCGACGGTCCAGACGGTGACAGGAGTTCCCACTGATCGGTTTCCGATACCCACCCTCCAGGTCCTGATCTACACATGGCGATGCGTCCACGCGGAAGAACCCGGTGTCTCAAAGGCCCAGCGCGGAAACTAGGTCGAAACAGAGCTTCACCTGTGTGTAGCTCTTGTATAGATCGTCCAGCCAGTAGGTGCGTTCGTCTAATTTTTCACTCTTCGTCGGCTGTTGATTCACTGTTCTCCCCTTTTCTTTTCGACCAACCAGTCTGCCATGAGTGGTCTGGGGTTGGGGGAGCCCATGAAAGCCAGAAAGGACTGGTTTCCCTACTAGTTTTTGAGGCACCCAACCCCCAAAAAATGAAAATATCTGAAGCAACAAGAATTTCTCATGGGTTGATGAATTATGA